ATTATTTATTTGAGAAAAACCGCGGTTTTTTGATAACGCCTACCACGTAAAGTTACCGAAAATTCCAAAAAACTGATTTTTCAAAGCAAATTAAACTTGGTTATGTTGCACAGTTATTGTTTATTAGCAATCAAGTTCCAATTCGCAAAAATTTCAAGAGCTTTCATGTTTTTGCTGCAGTTGCGTGTTTCATGACTTTACAAAAAATTGAGACCTCCGAAGAAATATTTTTTGAAGCTAAAGACAGCTTCAGGAGAGTATAAAAATATTGCCTTGTAGTCCGAGAATTGTTCTATTTCTGCCATACGTAACCACCTCCGGAACATTGGAATGAAATTTTCAACAATTAACCTAATTTTGGGCAGATAAATATGACGGGTGAAGAATTGTAACAAATATCAAGAAAAGCGTACAGGATTGTTGCTAGGAAATGTAACCCTAAGAAAGAGAAAGAAGAGCTGCATCCAGTGCATGTTGAAACTCACTCGGATCTTCATTGTGCATAGTTTTATAGCGGTTTGAAAAAACCGACAAAACTTCGGGACAACCTAATATAGGGCTCATCAAATTGAGTGTCGTTTGCACCGGCATCTCCATCTTCGCTCTGGACTCTGCGTCTCTTCTGCGGTACATGCTCCCTAATCACTTCCAATCGATTGATGCTCCGCCTTTCCCAAGCTCACCCTGGGAAAGTGCTCAGAGAGCAGCCCTACGGAAGAGACGAAGAGTCCGGCGCGAAGATGAAGATGCTGGTGCAAACGACACTCAATTTGATAAGCCCTATATATAATAATAATAATATGATAATATAATTCTATATATGATATATATTATATATAATATATATATATATACACGTTCCCGATTACAATGATCGTCTGAAAATCCTCAACATGCGAAGTTTGGCGACCGTCGAAAAGTCTCTGATCTGGTTCTCTACTTTAAAATCTTACGTAAAAAAATCAGACTCAAAGCTAGTAAATACCGGATATTTATACCCACCAATCAACGCTCTGGATCGTTCAACTTGCATTATCCCCCAATCAATAAAAAGCAATTTTTGCTGACTTTCACCATGTTGTTTTTTTAAAAGTGCAAGATGGTTACAACATCTTCCGCCTCACATTCTACAATCTAGTAATGCCCAAATGTTCAAGAGAAAGTTATCCAATCTTGATTTGAATAGATTACTACTGGATTGATGCTGTTTACTTTTTACACATGTTGGCTTCCTTTATCCTTATCATCTCATACTCTCTCATCTCTCTATTGTAATATATTTACTCGTGCGCACTTATTGTGCATCTTGTAAATAAATAAATAAATTTTTACCAAAAGGCAAACCAGGCAATTTCACATCTTTCAATTAGGATAAAGTGCTATAGAACCAAGAAAACGATAACGAGCTTGACCTCTCACGGAGCCGGTCTTATATTAGTATGGCGCTTAGATATACAAGCGCAAATAATTGTGGGGCACTCTGTATAGACATGAGATCAAATTCCAGTGCAGGTTTACGCTTAAAAGCAGCGTACTCCCAAAATTTCACCTTCGATATTTTTGTCATTCGGGGGATTTCGGTGCCCCTAATTACAGTTATGACATCAAAATTCTCCAAAACCCCCAAAAAATCCGATTCCCTTGCATGACAGCTGCAGTTGCAATTGCAACTGCAGCGTATACTGTCGTGGATTCGTTGTCCGAAGTAGGCGGACCGCAAAAAGCAGTTGCACTGTTGCATCTGCAGTTGCAATGCAACTGCAACTGCAGCTTACGCTGTCGTAGATCAGTTCGAGGGAGGCGGGCCGAATGAAAGGAGCGGAGCAAAAAGAGAATCAGGCTGGTTTTCTTCGCTTAGAAGCAATTGGGAGACCAGACCAACACAGTTGGTCTTCTTCTGGGCCCTAGATATGTACGGTATAGAGAATTGGTAACTTAGATTTTGGGCGTACGCTGCCTTATAACATGCGCAGTTATCTGCGAAAGTAAACATGATAGGAGCACAGATTTGTGCAAAAATGCGCAATGTCATGATGATTAATAATGAAGGGTTTTTCACAAATGATTTTGATAGCCGTAATTTTTACGTGGCCAGTCAAGCAAAAAATGCATCATAAGGAACTCAGAGAGCTTCCATAAACAAGACAATGTTATTTTTACAATATTTTTGTTATGACAGAGAAAACTATAATGGGAACAAAGTCTTCACGATAAAGTATAGAAAGTACTGAAGACGCTTCGTAAAATGCAAAAAAAAGAAAAAAGCATCTAGATTACTAGTGCTCTGTGCATATCACAATTTGTCGTTTTGAAACGGCTCTTAGTTCATTATAACAGGAGGACAGAAATATCGAAAGAGGGCGTAATTCATTTTAGTAGTCAAAGTAGTAGTTAGTTTTAAGCGTACTTCATTTTCATCATGAATTCGTTTCCCCTCTGCAATGGTCTAGGTGAATTCACAACTTTCCAGCACTACTCTTGAATAAGCTTTCCGTTATTACCGTAACTACGACCATTCTGTTGACCATAATTACTATGAATAATATAACCCACTTGCATGATAGTTTATGCAATTTTAAGAATTGGGTCCAAAGAGAAGCCATGAAAGGTAATAGTATATTTTCGCATAGCAGCTGCCGCCAAGCGTGTTTCAACCTTTCACTGTAATGTCCGAAACATCCTCTCAGTACATCGAGCGTAATTCCATTTGCTTATGCAGATCTTCGCCAAGAAGGGAATTACTTTAAAGCAGCTGGATGCTGCGGATTTGGCATAACCTTGAACCATGAACCATATAGTTCTGACTCAGACTCGTTTGGACAATGAGCTGCTTTTGCAGCTACCTAGCCTTTGATTCAACTAGATTGGCCGCTAAAAGGCGCAGCCCGCACCCGCGACGCAGTCTGCTTCTCTCTTGCGAGCGTGCTCTTTGATCATTTCCTAATTCTGATCAGGTCTCGAAGCTCCGCCTTTCAACCGTCAATCCTGTTGAATCAAAGTGTATACTAGAAAATCATTATTTAGCTTTTCACAGCAAATTTGCGGGCTACAAGCCAGTTAAATCAAAATTCGTGCTCTTCTCCCAAGTGGCAAACAAGTAGCTAAAAAGTGAGCGGTCAAAGGAGACGTAATTATTTGAGGCGGCCTTCCGTATAGTGAACTGAAAACATGAGCTAGTTCGATCTGTTCTAGTTATTTGCGAAGCACATTTAAGGGAGAATTATAGAGGTTTGGGAGGGGGGGGGGGGTTCAAATGCGCAGCTTGGGTTGAACACAGCTGCCAAGGTTTTTCCATCGATTGAATGAAGTAATGTCAAGGTTAAACGTCAGTGACATATGGTAACCTTTCACCTACTTCGTTTGAGCTCATCAAATTCAGTTTTGAATGGTTATTTGGCCTCGCAATTTTTGCCTGAAAAAATCCCATGACTGCTTTTAAGGAGGCTTTGCAAATACTGGAATCAGCGTCTCGACTTCTGCCTCCCACACAAAGTCTCTTCCCCTTTTCAGAAGGTGCAGTTACCGAATCTCTTTCATTACTGATAGTCGTTATCGACCAACTATTAGCGTGTTATTCATTCTGCAACATGTGTGCGCCACAATGGAAAACACCGAAACTTTAAGTTGAGATTGCTCAGGTTGAGATTGCTATAAAATCGTCTTTCAACGTAGCTAACGAAAAGATTTAGCTAAACTTTTGAGTCCGTTCAGAAGTTTTGTCACTTTTTTGGATCTACCAGCAAACACTGTAGGATAAATTATAGATAAACAGACATCTCAAGTTGTATCCAATGAAGAAATTCTTTTTCTTTCCAGCTGTTATATTTTCAGTGTAGTTCGTTAAAAGAGTGGTGAGATAACTGCTGGAAAGTACCATCCTTTTTCACTATTTCAAACTTAGCTGATCTTCAGATCCTTATTTGAGACATTTGGAGGAGCTTTTCTAGAGTTGGTGCAATAATAGTCCATGCAAATTTTCCAAACGTGGGGCAAGTCTTTAACTGAGGCTATTTTCTTCCTTTTTCAACTGCTTTTTTGGAATGAGTAATTTTCGAAGATCTTGGTTTTGAAAAATCTTGCATGGACTATCATTGCACCAACTGCAAAATCTTCAACATACTGAGGTTTCAACACTCGTTGTAATCCTTATCAACGCGAAAGTCAGACAAGGTGAAAACGAAGGGGTTGTGATGTTCAGCGATTGTCTCGGCGCTCTCAATGAATCGCATCTTGGATGTGGCCGGTGAAGCAGATCGGATGCAACCTGAACTGTTTGTTTAACTTTACTGCATGAAATTTGGGTTATTTCAGAAGGTTTGAAGACGCTCAATCAATCCTTTATCCTTCAATTTTCAAATCTCAAGGTCTGTCTCTGATTTGTAAATTATTCCTTCTTTTGAGGTAGATTATGCCTCAAAGCATTTAAAGCAAATTTTAAGTTTCTCTTTGAAGATGAGTCGGAAGGAAATACAGTTTGGTATAAAAGCGACATTATATCTCGTCTTTACAATCTCCTTCCACCCGGTGGAGATAAACGTGAGACAAAGGCCTCAGATTCGCACACCCCTAAGTAACCCTTCTATTTCTTGATTCGTAGGATGGCTCAAATAGATAACCTAACTTCCTAATGCAATCTCGCTTTAGTGTATAAAAACAGTAACTTTCACATTTTGTTTTATTTTCTTGAGATTACGTACACTGTTGATAAACACGATTTCCACAGCCAGTGTTTGAAACAATTACAGATGGTTTTCGAAAAGTATGTTTTAGTAGACAAATTAGATCGGGTGAAGTTTCACGTTAAAACTCACTTAGCATTCATAGGTACAGCATATATCAAAAGTAACATGCGTTCATACGGGTTCAAACGAACATTCATTAGTAGAGAAGTTGGCATTTCTATGTCTTTTTAAATGCAATAAACTTTTACTTCAAAAGAAGAACAGCACGAGCATTCTAGATAACATTTTTCACCAGGCTGCCCTACAAACAAATAAAGATACGAGTCTGCTTCTCGACGTGCTTGGACACTTTTTTAGTTTCTTGATGGTGCGTGGTTCGACATATGTAATATATCTATAGTACTGGTTGGGTTTGTTAAGTAGTTTAAAAAATGCTGCACACCCACAAGATGCCGTCGTATCTCAGGATTGAACCAGATGAGAATAAACCTGTAAATAAATCAAACTCTCCACCCTTTATCTCAAGAAAATACAATTAGACTGACCCCACTAAAACATGGGATAATTCCCATGCATAAGTGGTGCATAGGAACAAACAGAATCCTTTGGGTATGTACGCAGAAATCCAATTGAAACAAATACACATAACAGAATTTACAATTGAAATTAAGAAGGCCTACAAAGTCTGCTGGCTACACTTTCATTGTGTTCGTTCAACCGACCTGTGCAAAAAGCTTTACTTCCTTTTTATGCTTCATCTCCTCTGCTGCGGGAGCTGCACAAAATTTACTGCTTGATGTATTCTAAAATCAGAACTCAAAAAGCGTGCCTTTCAAAAGGATTGCCAACCTTTCTTATCGTTTGCAGTTTGAGAAGAGTAACCAAATCGAAAAAAGCTATGAGTACAAAGAGGCTGATATTATAAATCATATCAATGTATATCGATAAGATTACACTACAAGTATGCCCACCAAACCTCCAGATACGCAAATCGTGGTCATAAAAGAAGTCGCATGTTTCTCAAAATTACATATATATATATATTTCGCTTTATCAAAGTACCACAAAAAGTATTACAAACAGTACCTATTTGAAAAACCGCCCAGTATGACAGTGTTGGACATGTGATAAACACCAGCATAAAAATTGTGAATCTCCGCGTGAACCATACGCGATATGCTAGCGGAAATGTGATTGCAATGAACCTGAGTGGCGAATCTGCTTATCGAAGACTGTGTTATAGATTTTTGGTACTTTTCCGTTATCGGACCCTTTTTTTAAAGACGGACATTGCTTCCTTCCTCGCACCGTATGGTCCCAATTTTTTAGGAAACAGTGTCAACCTCCTGCCACGTGTCAAAAACAATTTGGCAAGTCATCTACATGTTCAACAGGTTTTATCGAGAGTTTGCGTTGCCCTACATAGCGACGTAAGTCCGATAGGTTTTCATTCAGAAGTGAATCAATTTTTGATTAAACAATTTCAAACGAGCACTGTTATATTATTGACGTCATTGTGTTTTTCATTAACACACTAGACTTGCTCAAAATAGAGAAGTGCCAAAGGCCTTCATTATCTAAGTAGCAAAACAAGCAGCAACAAGGTAGTTTGACTATCAGTTACAGTCTTTCCTGTCTGAATTCGCAAGGCGGGAAGAATTCGAAGAATATGACAGTTTGAATCATTACTGAAGCGATCAAGATGTTCTGATGTAAGTTTTTTAGATTGTTTTACTCTTAAAGGCAGTAGACAGGCAAAATGGACCCCTATCAGATTTTGGTAGTTTCGGGTAGTGGACCCCCCAATTACACCGTAGCCCCAAACCCAACTTCCAGTTGATGCGCTAAGTCCTGAAAAAAGCGCTTCAAACTTCCACCAATAACGCCCACTCAATGGAAGTGGGCGGGGCTGGTGGAGTTTTGAAGCGCTTTTTTCAGGACTTAGCGCATGAATTGGAATGTGGGGTTGGGGCTACGGTGTACTTGGGGGGTCCACTACCCGAAACTACCAAAATCTGACAGGGGTCCATTTTGCCTGTCCGCTGCCTTTAAAGAAAACTGTTGAAGAGCTTTTGAGTAACTACTAATGCTCTTCTGCCTTACCGGAAATTATTTGAAAAAACTGTCGAAGTGAACAGACAGGGCCCGGCACGAGTCAACTTCTAGGGTTTCTGAAAACGAAGTCTCCCCTGACTTTCGAAGTTTTACGAAGTCCCCTTTGACCTACTTGCTTAGGAAAAGATGAGAACAAGAAAGATTTACTAGTCTGAAAGAAAAGACGTGAGACAAGAGTGATCCAAATTGGAGCTGAATACTACGCATGCACAAGACTTTGGCATTAGAGCGCGATATTTAACAAAGCGAGAAGAAATGAAAGCAATAAACAACGAAAAGGCAATGATGTGAAAATGTCTTCATGCCCAGGGATAGATTTTTGACCAGGGAATCCGTCCATGCTAGAAAGATCCGAAACTTATGTGAAGTGACGAAAATATATGCTCCAGACGATCTCAGATCGTCTGGTGGCCGTCTGGAGACGATCTAATTTTGGAAAAGGTGTTACTTCACATAAGTTTTCAAATCTTTTTACATAATCCTTAATAATTTTCTATACATACAGTTCAATTTTGGTGTCATATGCTTCTGTGTGCGCTGTAAACAAGCAATTTCTTTATTTGAGCCTTGCTTTCAAATAGCGCGCACTTTTCGCCATACACGATTGAGCATGTCAATCGTGCGATAACCTGTCCGAAAAGCTTGTGTTCGACTAAACGGCGCTTATTCTTGGTGCTCGGTTCCGACTCGTTAAAAACGATATCCTCTTTGCTGTTTGTTTCAAAAACGAAGTCCAGCCTGCTTCCAGACCATCTGTGCCGGGCCCTGTGAACAGAACGTGTCAATCTTCCCGAAACGTGGCAAAAAGGCAGTTCGTAGAGTTTATGAATTAAATATTTTCAGGTTGAGGAACATACATCATGAAAGCCTTTTGCAAAAATAGGTCCGGATAACGGAAAAGTAACGATTTATCACAGGATTGTTTGAATATAAGTTTCGGAATGAAAACAGCAACATCTTGCTGGATTCCGATTGCGATCAACTGCTCCACGAGTTCCCGCGGAAAGAAGGTTGGCAGAAAAGGACGCCAAACGAAATGCTAACGCAGACATCATCATTGACAATGTGAAACTATCGATCTCAAGCAAGTTGTTTAATTTTGCTGTGTTCGACAACAGCCTCGTCAAGCGCAAAAAATGAATCCGTTTTGGGAATAAATGAGATTTCGCGAAATATTCAGCTGCATTGACACTGGGACGGTTTCAAAAGTATCAAACATCTGCTAGGACTATCGCTTTCCTCTTGTCGTAAGTTTCGCAGACTACGAGAAAGCTTTTGACAGGAGACAAGGCCATCATTTTGGCGAAAGTTGGCCAAGTAGTGAATTCAGTTTAGTGAGGAGTTAGGCCGACAGGGTTCCTTCATACCACGCCGCAGGACGCAGCGTGCGCGGCGTGCGGCGCAGGAATCGCTTTGAAAATATACGTTCACGGCAACGCGTTTTCGCGCTGGTTGTGTATGTATCTCTATATTTCTGCACGTTCACGTTCATACATACACGACGTATCTTTTCAGAGCGATTTCTGCGGTGCACGCCGCGCACGCTGCGTTCTGCGGCGTAGTATGTAGAAACTTACAGAAGCATCCAGTTCATATAGGATTTTCATTACTTTTACATGGACATAAATTACAGCGTTTCTTACATAGTAAAGATTTTTGACTTCAAAATTACCTTCATTTTTGCTACCACCTGAGATAGCGTTGAAACTTATGTTGTAAGAGGGAAAGCGCGCACTCAAATAGCGCAGTGCACATGCCACGTTTGCGATGGTCTGCCTTGCCCCAGGGTCCAGGAGAGATTGCTTAAGACAGTGGCGAAAAGCAAAGGCGGTATCGTGAACATGCAGTCATGTAATCCACCACCAAATAGAAACGCTGTAGAAGTCAATTAATACACAAAACACGCTCCCCCATAACTTTTCGCTAAGCGCGCAATTTGTGTGCGAGGCTGAAATGAAAGAACAGTTTGACGAGCATATGCCACAAATTTTGATTGTATTTTAATTAGGTTGTCGGATAATTTCTGTTACACTTTCTTCTTTTTTTTCTAACAAATCACAAAAGTTTCAAAACCCAAATTTGCGATAAACGTATGACATGGCGGGACATTTAACCACCAGCATGGCTGATGCAAATGCACAAATGACCAGCAAGCTTACGCCAGTGCTGTGAAAAACGATTCTCATTATTTTTATGATTTCTTCTCTGCGCTTACTTTTATTTTTCGTCTCTTATAATTTTTTAGAATGTATCTTGGCACTGCTTATCACGGAGACACTTCAATGCCTCTAGTTTTTCAGAAACAAGGGTTGATGTCAAAAAACTCAAAAGTTTTCCTAAATTCTTCTTCTTATGTGCATCGTGTAGACACAGAAAGACACAGAAAGCTCAAAAATAATTTCTTAAATATTTTAAAAGGTTTTCTCTGTTATGTCGATCAATACAAAAAGAAACGTTCAAAACCTGTGTTTGTGTCGTCCCCCCATTTTTTTGACCTCTAAATTATGCCCTGTCTGATTATCATAATGTACGATCTCTCACTCATCATTTGGAAAAATGCCAACTCATTCATAAAAATGAAATCAAAACGGATTTCCAGCTTACAAAATAGGTGTTTTGCGCACGGATCGCGGATTCGACGGTCCGATGAATAGATCTTTTGATCTTGCCCACATGCCGTGAGCATGAGGTCTTTCGAAAGCTTTTGAAATTGGAAATTAAAACGTGTAATAGGAATTATGAAAACCTAGTATCTGTTGTGAAAAATATAGTTTACAGAAGTATTGTGCATGTTTTTGGAACTTATGTGACGTACATAATCCCTCAATTTAGTCCTCCTCCAGGACGCCACCAAAACCACTGAGTCAGTCAGGAGCATATTATGTGAGTTCACATGAGTATGTATCATGGACGACTTCTCCGGTCAAAAAATTTATTCGGAAGCATGAACCAACTCTTAAGATCGCCACTTCTCGTAGTAAATAAAAATTACTAGCTAACAATGAGCTAACAGTAATTTTTGTTGTCCCCTTCCTGCATACTGCATATGCCAATGCGTATTTTTTTGTTTTTTTTTCTGGAAAAACGGTCCACGGCCTAGTACGTTAGACAACTACCACCTTACGTAACATGGATGAGCAAGATTCTCGAGACAAAAATGAAAGGTAGTGCTTGTAGTGAGTCCTTTATGCAACGTGAAAGTGATCGCCGTGTAGAGATGCGGCAGTCTTACCTGATAACAAAACTAGTTACCTGTTTATAGAAATAAGAAGAGTACCGTGGAAACCGGCTTCTGCAAAGAATAAAGCTGTCGAACCAAAAAATAGGTTTGCTCCATGTAGTTTTTGAGGTACAGCGCTTAAGTTCTTCATTAAAGGTAAGAACAGATTGACAGTGACTGGAACATAGGTACAAAACTTACAACAGTGTCCATGGAGTAGCCCAACAAGCTATAAGTAGAAGTGCGAAAAAGTTTGCGAATGCAATATAAGCGAGTATGTACCCAAAAGAGTTGTGAAAGGATTTGTGCCTGATAATTATCAGAAGTGATACAGTGTTGACTATAAATCCCACGATAAATGTCTGAATGGCTTCATGCAATTCGATGAAATTATATCATACTAGCTAGCAAGTCCGGGTCGCCTTCGCCTTGTCCTGTCAATGATATTTTCGTAATCGATTACCTTCCCCCCCCCCGTTCGTACCAACTCCCAGCCTCGCAGGCGAAACTTCGCTAAAAATTGATAAAATTAATAATAATCAATGACGAAAAATAGCCTACGAGCACCCCCCCCCCTCCCCACTCCTTATACGTGTGCCAAGTTTGGTCTCGATGGTTTAGAAATAAAAAATTCTGTTCGGAGCATACGTACACATAGACAGAGAAATAGACATACAAACACACACATTCGGCTTCATTTATACAAATGGCTGCTAATCAACATCCTTGTCGAAGTTCTTACCGTAATCCTACAGTAACGAAGAGCGATCGACGATTCGCTCCATACTCTAGATCTAAGTTGAACCTCGCTCTTTGGAATGATGCC